ACAAAGTGAGCGGACAACCTACCGAATGGGAGAAAGTGTTTGCTAACCACACATCAGACAAGGGGCTAATATCCAGAATATTTAAGGAACTTAAAAGACTCAATAGCAGAAAAACAAATAACCTAGTTAAAAAATGGGCAAAGGACCTGAACAGACATTTCTCAACAGAAGACATACAAATTGCCAACAAGCACATGAAAAAATGCCTAACATAACTAATCATCAGGGAAATGCAATAGAAAACCACAATGGGATATCATCTCACTCCAGTTAGAATGGCTATTATCAACAAGACAAAAATAACAAATGCTGGTAAAGATGCTGAGAAAAAGGAACTCTCCTACAGTGTTGGTGGGAGTGTAAATTGGTGCAGCCACTGTGGAAAACAGTATGGAGGTTCCTCAAAGAACTAAAAATAGATCTACCCTACGACCCAGCTATCTCACTACTGGGTATACACTCAAAGGAAATGAAATCAATATATCAAAATGAAACCTGTACTTCCATGTTTATTGTAGCACTATTCACAATACCAAGAGATGGAATCAACCTAAATGTCCATCAATGGATGAACAGATAAAAACAGGAAACCATCATGTTAAGTGAAGTAAGTCAGGCACAAAAAGACAAATAGCACATAATACCACTCATATGTGGAATCAAAAAAAAAAAAAGTAGTTCTCATAGAACTAGAGAGTAGAATAATGGTTACTGGAGGCAGGGGTGGTGGGGGGAGGAGAAAAAATGGACTAACAGGTACAACACTATGCAATCTACCCTAAGTGAACCACTGTGTAGTAAATGCATGTATTGAAACAACACACTGTACCCCACAAATATGTACAAATAAATGTTAAAATATTTTTATGGACACCCAAACCAGACAGCCACCAAAACCAAAATGTTAAAATAAATGTTAAAATATTTTTAACAAATAAATTTAAAAGGTCAGTATTTCAAACACCCTTACAGAAACACCCAGAATGATATGTGACCCTGGGCACCCAATGGCCCAGTCAAGTTGACACATAAAATTAACCATCACAATCCTCAAAATGGCAAAGTCCAAGGGTGTTTGAATAAATAAAATATGGTACATTTACATAATGTAATATTACACAGCAATAAAAATTAAAATGCAGCTACACAAACTACAAAATTACATATTCATTCTTTCATTATAAAATGTTCAAACTGAAGTAAATATATTAACTAGGAAATTAGAAGTTAGAAGAATCTTTATCTTTGGGAAGGCACAAGAGGGTGGTGATGGGAGGGGGTACAAGGAGGCCTTCGCAAGTGCTAGCAAATTTCTATTTATTGGCAGATGTTATTTTGTAATTTATTAAAGTTATGGTATGTACATTTCCTGTATGTCTATTAAATATCAAAAGTTTTAAAATAAAACCTTAGAAGTTACGAAAATCAACTACATTGTATATCGATAAATTAAAATCTAAAAAAAAGAAAAAAAAAAACATCTTGTAAAAATATCTCTTAAGAAAAAAATCCCTAAATATATATACTACATGTCACATTTTTATATGTCTTACAGGTACTAGAAAATAAAGCAATATAAAAATACAATCTTATCCAATAACATAATTTATAAATCTAATGGCCATTCCTTTTAAATCACTGTAGCATTTTTTTAATGTTTAAATATTATTTTTTTAATATGCAATACTTGCACATACATGTATAACTGTGTGTATGTATATATAATATACAATAATGATAGGACAGTCTGCACTAATCTGTACTTTGTTATCTATATGAGAGTATTTCAAAAAGCTCATGGAAAGATTTGTGTTATCTTTTAATTCTATTTTTCCATGAACTTTTTGAAGTAAACTTTTTGAAGTTAAAGACTTTGGAAAGGTACTTAACCTCTTTGTGCTTCAATTCCCTTATCTGTAAATGGAGATTTTAATAGTGTTCATCTCATACATAGTGATGCTGTGAAGAATTAATGAAATATGTGCAAAGAGGTTAGAACAAAATTAGATACATAAGAACCACTGTATAAATAATAGCTATTGTTATTATTAATGTGAGCTATCTTCATTATTTTTTAAAAATATGATACATTTATTGACAGGGTAGGGAATCATCTCAAATTAACTCGAAAGATACTCCTCCCAATATATCAACAAAATTATGATTTTTTAAATAGTACCTTTCTTGAGAAGCTCAAAGTAATTTCCAAATAACATGCAATTGGAGACGCACATGTGTAGGCAATGAAAATGGATAACCAGTGAGCAAGCTGTCCAAGAGAGACAGTAAAGAGAAAAAGGAACTTCTACATAGTTTTTCCATCTCCAAGATGAGTTAGAGATCCATGAAGGCTTTAAGTAAATCCTAGATTCTAAGCTGGTTCCTGTATGATTTCTTTTCAGAAATAACGCATGTCCTCATTCATAAGTGGGAGCTAAATAAATAAATAAACAAACAAGCAAGAGAGAGAAAGAAAGAAACAACAATCACAATACACTGAACTTTCAGAAGGAGATAAGAGAACTGTGGTTACTAGAAGAGGAGAGAGGGAGGAAACAGGGGAGTGGGGTTAATGAGAAGTTAATGAGAAACTGGTTAACGGACACAAAGAATGATTACATATTGTAATGATGAAGAAGCTAACTATCCTGATTTGACCATCACATATTGTACACACTACTGATAGTCTACTTTGTATCCCACAAATATCTATAATCAATTATGTTTCAATATAAATAAATAAACAAGAAATAAATAAAAGATTTCTTTCCAGTTAAGACCTGGAGAGGTCACCCATCCCTTGAGACTTCATTCTCATTTATCTGTCTCTAGCAGTGAAAACCCAAATGTAGATTAAATAACTCACAGTTTGATAGCTGGAATTACACACTAGAAATCATTTCAACTCAATGATTTGACAGATCTGGAAACCATAATCTAGAGAAGTAAAATCACTTGCCCTAAATCATACAGTAAATAAATAATAGAGCTGACCTAGTTCCAAGCTCAATACTCTTTTCACTATATTTAAACAAGTCAGTATTCTAGGAAATATAAAAAATAAAGTGTAACATGTTTATATGCTATATATATTCTATATATTTTTGTCAAATACATCCCTGTCACTATAAAATTGATTCAAATTCAGTTCACTACAATATTCATTTTATGCTGGATATATCTATAATCAAAAACTATTTTATATTTGTATAAAGTTTACCCTGAATTATCCTTTTTTGAGCTATACCCTGTTTATTTCCTTGACACCACTCTGATTTTTGATGGTTTATGATTTTTAATCCAGTTCTCCATGAGTTTAACCCTTTAACCCACTTCTCACATTTATATTAACGATGAAGTAACAATGATTCTAGAATAATCATGCAGAAAATCAGTATGCCTGCCTATAAACACGAGAAGCAAATGAGTTAATTGAAGTAAATAAGAATAGTAAATCGAGTTAATTAGCTTGATTTAGCCATTACATAATCTATACATATTTCAAAACAAAATGTATACACAATAAGTATATATAACTTTTTGTCAATCAAAACATTTTATTTTATTTAGTAATATGGATTTTTTTGCCTTTAAAAATAATTAATTAATTAATTACCTTTGTTTTATCTTTACACAATGTAAACATTTTTTGTGGCCCATCACCAATTTCAAAAAACTTTAAAAACTAAGTAAATGAAATTTCCAAAGATCGAAAACTAACAATAGAGACTCACCAAAACATTAGTTCTGAGTTTCTATGGTCTTAAATAAAAAGAAAACATTCCACTTATGTTACAAATCACGTTTAAGTTTAAATATTATCTTTAAATAAAAAATTACAACCTAGTTGTAAAAGTATTTGTGGAAAATCTTGGAAACATGTAATGAAAGGGAAAGTAAAAGCAAAGACACTGAAAGATACATGGCCCTACAGCTCTACAAAAGTAGTTAGGGGGCTGGCCTGTTAGCTCAGTTGGTTAGAGCATGGTGCTGATAACACCAACGTCCAGGGTTTGATCCCTGTATTAGCCAGGTGTGTGCTCCACCCCAAACCTCAAAAAAGTAGAAGTTATTCTTACTTTAGGCCACGTTTATGTAAATCACCGGAGGCACAGGTGATTTTCACAGCATAACATATTTGGATTGCTAATCACTTCTACATCAGAATACAAGGACAAACATATAAAGCATAAGGAATTAAAACAAAAACAGTACAAATTTGGAACATATGTTTGGTCCATTGGAAATAAAATATAACAAATTCATACAACCCATGCAAATAGTCTTATGATAAAATAGAAACAGACTAGCTCATCCATCAAATCAAGATTATTAAAGACATTTAGCTAAGGTTCCCTTAAGAATGGCACGGTACAGGGCACAAGGTGGGTGGATGGGAAATAAAATAAAACTACCCTGAATGTTCAAATTTTCATATACTTTGTCATATACTCAAAATTGACTTACTATTTTTTAGGAGACAGAGAGAGTGTGGTCCTATATTAAATGGCAGTTTAGGTAGATTCTGAACATTGTTTCTGAAAATTATCAGGATTTAAGGGACAGAAAAGGGTATAAAAGAGATGGCAGAACACAGGGCACCTAGAAAGAGTAAGATGTGGAACTGGGACTCAGCTGCTGCTGTGTCCTATGTGCCCTTTATCTCCTGCCTTTTCTGAAAATCAATGAGATTTCTTATGTCCTCTTAACTTTATACCAATTTTTGTACTCTTAAGAGACAAACAAAACCACAGTGGTATTTTAAAGTTGGGATAAGTAGTATTTTAAATCTGGGACATAAGTTCCAACTAGATATTCTCTGGAATATCAGACTTTAGGCTCATAGTCTATTAGGACTCTTCCAAAAATGCTCAGAATCAGGACATAAATTATTGATGGATCCTTACGTGTTAAGTCATTATTGTATGTATAATTTATAGAGAAACATTAGAAACAATATTAACTAGGAAAACTATTGACATAAATAGCATGCACAGTACCTTCTGATAAACAATGGAGCACACGAGATCCTTTACAGCAGATAAAGACAGTTCCTGGGCTTCAATGGTAACACTCTCCCGTGTGAGGCCAATCTGCAGTAGAAATGAAACTGTATGCACCGAGCCTCTGGAGTTGGTAAGTGATGGTGCACTAAAGCTTCCATTAGAGAGGCGGGCAGAAAGTCCAGTCTTAGGACTTGAACATGGAGAAGGAGTTGGAAGCACAGCAGGAATTGTTGCAGGTAATACAGACTTCTGGGCTGATGGAGGGGAATTATTTGCAGACATCTGCCTTTCTTTAATCTTTAAAAACAGTTGTCAATCCTTTTTAAATGGTTATGAAGAGCCGTTTAAAATAACAGCAGTAAAAAAATGACTGCACTTTTGGATTTAGTTGAAAGCTTCTTTATTTCTTCTTTTAAGCCACTCATGCTGATGATTATAAATTCTATCACTGAGAGTTGAATGCACACAAAAAAAGTCCCACTTCTCTTAATTTCAGTCCCATCAAAAGAGAGTCTTATCTTTAGGACCACAACCAGGGATCTGTAAAGGATTTAACATCGCTGAGTTATCCTCATCAGAAAAGAGTAGACATTGTTTATTAAACATCTTCATGTATTTTCTTGTCTCTCTGCTTTAATTTCAGAAAATACATACTGAATAAAAGTAGTTTTTCTGTCAAGATAAAATCCTCCTGGTTTAAGAAATAGTAAAGGTTTTGGATTAATCTATTCAGTACCTTATCTTCCGGTTCACTGATTTGATGGGACACCTCAAATGCCCACACCTTAAATCACATTCTCAACCGCCCTCATTTTCATTTTGGGGATGAACTTTTCTATAATGAAGTACAAAGCTTTTTAAAATAGTGCAAGAATATTTCATTTGCGGAATGCATCCAGTGAGAAAAGTTGATGCTTTCTGAATTGCAGTCAGCCTGGAAGAAATTTTAAAAAGGTTTTCAATATTTTACATTCGCTTGACATGAATTTAAAAATGTAATAATCCCTATAATTTTTTTAAATCATAATTTTTGGTTGTACATTTATAATTCACTAATAAATCCTAACGGGTAGCCATTTTTTGTCTAGTTATCAGAGCCATTTGTCACTCTAAGTATAATTTCAGGAAGCACCTCCTGCACACACAAAAAACACCCCTGGGACTCCTCATTAATACCTAATTTGAAGATTAAACACTTTTTTTTTTTTTTCCTTTTTGTCTTTTTCTGTGTCCGGCAACGGATCACAACCCTCAGTGTCGCCCCCGTACCGGACTGGGACCGGCAACGGGATCGCAACCCTCGGTGTTGCTCC